TTAACCCCACTCCCAGCACCCCTATGCAGGGGCGGGCTGGGCCGGGGGGCAGGGAGGCAATTGCCCCCCAGGCCGCCCTAAATTCTGTCAGGACCGGCCGCTGCAGGGCCGGCCCTTTAAATGCTGCAGCCGCCTGAGCGCTCTGTTAAGAGCCTCAGGCGGCTGCAACACATATTCTCCCCTCCCCTGTAGCTGGCCGAGCTCCTCTGCTGTCCGCGGTGCCCGGCCGGACTGATAGGAAGGTGCACACTCAGTGTGCACTTCCTGTCAGTCCGGCCGGTTACAGGAAACAGAAACTCCGCGCGGAACAAGAGTTTTTGTTTCCTGTCACTGGCCGGACTGAAAGAAAGTGCACACTCCTTCCTGTCAGTCCGGCCGGCACCGCGGACAGAAGAGCAGCTCGGCCACGCTACAGGGGAGGGGAGGAGAGGTAAGGGGGGAGGGGGAAATTAAGAAGAAGGGGGGAGGTGGAAATTAAGAAGAAGGGGGGAGGGGGAAATTAAGAAGAAGGGGGGAGGGGGAATTCAAGAAGGAAGGGGAGGGAATTAAGAAGGGGGAGGGGGAAATTAAGAAGGAAGGGGGGAGGGGGAGAAATTAAGAAGGAGGGGAGGGGTGGGGGGATTAAGAAGAAGGGGGAGGGATTAGAAGAAGGGGGAGAGATGCAGGGATTAAGACGAACAGGTGGGTGGGGAGATTAAGAAGAACAGGGGGATTGGGGGAATTAAGACGAACGGGGGTTAAGAAGAACAGGGGGAGTAAGAAGAACACAGAGAGGAGGGGGAAGAGTAAGAAGGACACAGGGAGGAGGGGAGAGAAGGGGAGGTGAGGAGATCACAGGGAGGAGGGGAGAGAAGGGGAGGTGAGGAGATCACAGGGAGGGGGGGAGGTGAGGAGATCACAGGGAGGGGGAGGTGAGGAGATCACAGGGAGGGGAGGAGTGTGGGAGGGGAGGTGAGGAGAACACAGGAGGGTGGGGAGTGACATGGGGAGGTGAGGAGACACAGGGGGGGGAGGTGAGGATCACAGGAGGGGGAGGAGGAGATCACAGGGGAGGGGAGATGAGGAGAACACAGGGAGGGGCTGGTGAGGAGAACACAGGGAGGGTGGGGGAGTGAGAAGAACACAGGGAGGGTGGGGGAGTGAGAAGAACACAGGGAGGGTGGGGGGAGTGAGAAGAACACAGGGAGGGTGGAGGGAGTGAGTAGAACACATGGGGGGAGGTGAGGAGAACACATGGGGGGGGGGTGAGAAGAACACAGGGAGGGAGGGGGCTGAAAAGAATACCGGAGGTTTGGGGGGGTGGGGGGATGAGAAGAGCACAGGGAGGGTGGGTGAGTGTGAGAAGTGACTGCTAGGGAAGGGGGGGGAGAGACCACTAAGGGGCAGAGGAGAGCTCTTTCACACTACGCGCACACACACAATGCATCCCTATACATACACAAACACACAATGTATCCCTACACACACAGAGAAACACACAGTGCACCCATTACACACAAAGACAATGCATCATTTGCACACATACACAGAAACACACAATGCAAACCCTTACACACACATGCAAACACACACACTGCTTCTCTTACATATACACAGAAACACAATGCATTTCATACACACATTCAATGCACACACTACAGACACACACCTTGCATCCCTTATGCATACAAACACAGATTCACACAATAAATCACTTATACACAAACACACACTGCCTCCACTACAAATACACTGCATCACCTACACAAACTGGTATCCCTATACACTACATACCATAAGTACACACATTAGATCCTCTACAATAACACATCCCCTACACACTCCACTCCCTGTGAGCAAACTCATGGGTGGAACATCTAGGTGGACTTTTAGGTGGGCCTTATGGGCATACTCACCGTCAGGCCCTGGGACCCAGACCTTGAGCTGTTTAAGGGGCCCCCAAAAAATGGAGCTGCTTCCCATTCTACTAGAACTTTGAATTTTGTGACCACAGTTACAAACAGCCTTCAAAGATTCTCTTCTACACCAGACCAGTGGAGCCAAACCGCAGCCCATCATCATCCTCATCTGGTTGTAAGTAGGCAATCTAGTATATTATTAGTGACACTAATCTATCATTTACCTCACATTAAAGGGACACTATAGCTTAATGAAGTAGTTCTGGTGTCTATAGCCGGTCCCTGCAGGCTTTTTAATGTAAACACACACTGTGTGCAGCTTTGGCATTAGTTCATATGGCAGATTATATAGGTGGGGCATTGTGATGTCACATGGGGGGGGCAGCTTATTTTTCCTTTGCCTAGGGCAGCAAAAATCCTTGCACCGGCTCTAATCCTGGGCAGGTGCACCAGTCTACTGGTGACCCACAGGAGGGGATTGCACTGCACTCTCCTCCTGCCCAGACCTGTCTTTACCGCAGTGAAAGTGCCCTCTGCCCCTAATTTACAGTGGCTCACACTCACAGCAAGCAGTGCCTGGAGCCCTTTGCAGCGATGGGAACTAAGAGGTTCTGCGGCAGGTGGCCGTCCTGCAAGCATTACATTAAACAGCTGTTCCCCATGCAGCCACAGGTGGCGCTGTGCTGAGAGAATGTGATTACTCTTCACTTCCTCCCAGCCTACAGCGCAGCACATGGGAGAGGAGGAGGCATGATTTAATCTTACAACAAATCCATTAAGCAAATCTTTGGGGGGATCAGCTCTGTTTGCACAGTTTATTGGTGTTTACTCTGATGTCTGTATTAATATTGAGGGATTTCTAAGTAGTAACATCAGTATGTGTCAGCAGGGCCAGCCGTTGGGGTGTGCAAGCTGTGTGGTCACGCAGGGTGCCATGACAACAGAGGCGCCCGGCGGCCAACATAGCTCACAAGTTGGAGACCCCAGCATATTCAGTTTAAATGATTCGCTGGTGGTCCACTGGTGCTCACCAGCATAGGTGCAGTCGGATTATAGCCTCTCCCTCATGGTTCTGGCGCTCAGTTAGTAAGTCAGAGCACAGGCTCAGAGATTCTCAGCCTGCGCTCTGACAACATTGAAAGTCAGAGCCGTGAAGGAGCGGGTATGGCAAAGAGCTACTGCTTAGCATAACATCAATATCCGTTATAAAACCAGGTGGGCATGGATGGTGAACTGATTTGATGGTGCAATGGGCCACTTGACTGGTTTTGTCCCCCAGGCCTAAGGCTGCCAGCCCTCCCCTGTTAGCAAACCACTGTAGTGGTTATGGTGCCATGAGTGCCCTGCCCACACCTACCTCCCTTCTCCCCTCATTCTAAGCAGTCAAACAATATTTACCTGTGGTCTGACCGGTGATGCTCCCCACTACAAATGTCAGAGGGACAGAAGTTCATAAGCAGGAATTTCCATTAGCTCTCCTAAGCTAAACCATGTAAGGTAGGGCTAGCTCTTTGGCTGACTGTATCAGTTGATGGCTCTGTACCAAGACCAAGCTGTATGTTTCAAACAGATGATTCACTAAAGTGAGAATTCAAAGGGAATTCAATGTGAATTTCAAATTTAGGGTTAAAATAGCCAAAATGGAAACATTTTGTAGGTTTTCTGCTCAGATTCTTTGGCCCTAAATTTTAATTTCACTTTGAATTCACCTTGAATTCTCACTTTAGTGAATATGCCTGACTGTCTTCGGAGCCCGTAATCTTAGTGCATCTGCATGTACCATGGTAGTGCTTTCATTAGAGCCTGTTTTGTTTTTTTTGCTTTTTTGAATGAAACATTCTTCAGTTTGTTTAATTCACTTATATGCAGTCTACCTGCTATCCTTCTGCTGTGCTTCTTGATTCAATACATTAATTTTTATTGATTGTTTCAGTGACATCTTATTGTTCTATCAAAGTTTTCTCATGTAAACCATTACATTTTTCATCTTTTAGCAAATGAGGGGAAGGTGCGCATGATCAGCTGTGGAGCAGATAAGAGCATCTACTTCCGTACTGCAGACCAGGTACAGAAACCTAAATATAATTGCAGTTATTTAGTATTCCATGAGTTGACAATGGAATTATACCTTTTAGGCCCAGGTTAGTTGAACTTGAAACTTTCTTAGGTTGGACTACTTTTCCAGCTGGATTATTATGGCTTCGTAATTTCCAACCACTGGAAATTTTGCACATCTGTGGTTTCTTATAGATGTATTTAGAAATTGCAATGTGTAAATGTGTGACAATAGGTGTGCCCCCCCCCCCCCTTATTGTTATTTAGGGCCCGCCGCGCAGGGGTGGGGGCCGGATAGTAGGTTTTTTTTTAAACAGTGAGCAGATTTTTATCTCCCTTATGCAATTATGGGGGTCACATTGACCCCCATAGAGTGAGGGAGGACATGGGGGGTTAGGAAGTGGCGGGGAGCACTGCTGCTTCTATGTTTACATATTATAAGGAGGGAGATGCGTGCCGGTAGTGCCCTTCTTGTAATTATCTGAACGAACAAATGAACACTGATATTCAGTGTTAGTTTGTTCGTCTGAAATTTCTGTTAATTCATTTGTCTTTCTATAGTGTCCCTTTAAGCAAACTAATCTTATTGATTAAAGTGCCGCTTTAAAACACTTTTACATTTTTTTATTTTTAAGTTTGGTGATGTGACAAATTTAAACATGGTGCCTTTTGTTTTTCAGATTGGAGAAGGCAATGTCCATTTTACACGTACACATCACATTGTGCGAAAAACTACATTGTATGACATGGATGTGGACCCAAGCCTGAAGTATGCTGCCATTGGTTGTCAAGATCGCAATATTCGGTATGGTTAGGATTTTTCATTTTGGGAAATAATCCTGGATGGACTTTAAAAAAGAATTTTAAATAACATTTTTGAATGAGGAAGTGAATAATACTACTAGTTTGTCTACGTTTGTGTAATGTTATGAATTAATGTTTGACCCTAATGCAATTTTGAGTTTTATTATTCCTTTCTTTCAGAATCTTTAATATCAGCAGTGGAAAGCAGAAAAAGCTGTACAAAGGGTCACAGAGTGAAGATGGAACCCTTATTAAAGCGAGTATTCTTGTATCGTCTGTACTTTTGACAGAACCATAAAAGTTTTTCTTGAGAACATCTGGAAGCAGTCAATCTTTCTATGATTTAAGACATGCCAAATGTAAAACCCATAGCCTTTCCAACACTTTGTAAATCTTATTGTTACATCCCCAGTGTTTTGGTTTCTAACACAGTGGTTCCTAAACTTTTTAGGTTCAAGGCGCCCTTAATATTTTTCCAAGGCGCCCCAAGTCAAAACATTTTCTAGGTTGTATATATGTACAGCGCAGCGGCATATACCGGGCCCCTGTTCGTCAGAAATGCTTGCCGTTTAAGTGCAGATCCAGAACCTAATCTTGGAAGGAGCACTGGTAGATTATTTAAAGAAACAATCCAGGCACAAAAACCACTACAGCATTTTGTAGTGGTTATGGTGCCAGTATGCCATAGTGCTCTCCCAGAGTTTAAGAGCAGTTTGACAAGTTACCTGGGATCTGCCGGGATAGGGTCTTTACAAGGGGATAGGTGCAGTAATGTGTGTGAGGGGTGCAACATGTGTGTGTGAGGGGTGCAGTGTATGTGTGTGTGTGTGTGTGAGGGGTGCAGTGTATGTGTGTGTGTGTGTGTGTGAGAGGTGCAGTGTATGTATGTGTGTGTGTGAGGGGGGAGCAGTGTGTGTGTGTGAGGGGGATGTAGTGTGTGTGGGGTGCGGGGTGTGTGTTTGGGGTGCAGTATGTGTGGTGCAGTGTATGGGTGCGCGAGGGGGGTGCAATGTGTGTGAGCGCGAGGGGGGGGCGCAATGTGTGTGTGCGCGCGAGGGGGGAACAATGTGTGTGTGTGTGACAGGTACTGTGCGCGTGCGCGAGGGGGGCTGTGTGTGTGTGTGTGCATTCGTGTCTGTGCGCGTGCTGTGTATGGGGGAGTTATTGTGACTCTGTGGGGGTAGGAGGGCAAATTCATAAATATATAATTAAATGTTTTTTTATTACAGATAACCATTTTAATATCCCCTCTCCGTGGGTACCTTTGCCTGTGAGGAGGGACATTTCCTGCAATCCCTGGTGGTCCGGTGGGGAAGCAGTGAACTCTAGCAGCCTTAGGAGCTGCTAGAGTTCATTCTGGTGAGATTCGGAGTGTTGCTACGGTAACCACGGCAACGTTCCAAGCTCGCTTGAGGAGAACCCGGCGGAGCTGCAAGTTAGAGTTCCCCCGGGTCCTCTTTCCCTTCCCTGCCCTGCTGCCAGCATTACACTGCTAGCGGGCTGGAAAGGGAGATCTCTGATCTCCACTCCAGTTCTGCAGAGCCGGCAGGGGAGAGGGAGGCACAGTTCCCATAGCACTGGGAATATATCTTGCGGCTCTCCTGTGTACCCTGGGGAGCGCAACACACAATTTGGGAACCGCTGTTCTAACAGGTGCCTTATAACATTTCTAAATAAGTGTTATTATTTTGCTTTGGAAGATGCACTAAACGAACTTGATTATTTTCTGTATCAACCATAGAATAGTGTATTTTGTGTCTGTTCCCTGCTGTAAAAAAAATGCAGATCAGCACTAGGTACTGCTGACACTGGAAAGCAAGTCAGGTGTCAGAACCTAAACCTGTACTGTGTTGCAAAGATTTGTAACTGTGATATTGATTTTGGGTATGAGCATTGTGCATGTAAAGAATTGCTATTTCAGACTATGGGCTTGGTGAAGGTAATTTTTCTTAAAGGGTCAGTGCATAGTGAAAAGAGGCACCCTAAGCACCATATCCGTTACAGATCTTTTACTATCCGTGTTTCTTATATAAATGTTTATAATTATAATGTGAAAACATCTTGATAATTGAGCTTATAGTGGTCTGATGGTTGAGACCTTCTTATTTCTTCAATTTAGTGAGGGTGTAAAAAAGACAAACTCATTTTTATTAAAACTGATTTTTGGTTGAAGTAACCCTTGCTGGAATAGCCCCCCTCCCCAACATTTAAAAACAAAAAAGAGGGGGACCATACAAAATCGCCTTAGGACAAATGTTATCGTATTCTATGCACAGAACTTACTGCCCTAGCTAATGATGCTGCTGGAGATGATGTTAAACACTCCATGGGGACACTATAGTCACCAGAACAACTACAGCTTAATCTAGTTGAAACCTCCAGTGGTCACTCTACAGATAGCTAAGGAGATGCTGTTTGGCCAGGTTGGAGTTTGGCTTCCACACCCCACCCCCGGGCCATCTCCTTTGCTGAGATCATCAGTATTGACAACCTCAGCCGATCAAATGCTTCTCATGACGTCAGCCAAGGAGGCAGATCATGGGGAAGCCAGCACCAACAGACTGGAATAAAGATAAGATTACTATATTTAGGGGGACAGGGGTACTAGGTAGTGATTTTTAACACTAAAGGGTCAGGAATACATGTTTGTGTTCCTGACCCTATAGTGTTCCTGTAAATATCTCTGTATATGCATTGTTTTATACTGAAGCGAAGCACATACAGACTCCAAGCAGCATGGCCACTTTTAATTCTGAGTAACCCTTTAATCATTTTTAGCTGTGTGACCTCTCTCTAATTTACAATTATTAAGACTTTATACTTGCTTTATTTGTCAATGTGAATGTCGACGCTTATGTTGTATGGTTTATTAATGTTCATCCATATAGCAAATAAACCGCTGTATTGTTTAGTGTTTTTTTTTTGTTTTTTGTTTATTTAATTATTTTATATATATTTTCTTACATTAAGAAACTACATTTCAATTTGTAATTACAGGCAGTGTATTTTCTGTGAGGTTATATTTTGTCAGTTCAGTGCATCTGTGACATTGAGTTTGTATTTTAGACAATTATTTATTTGCAAACTCCTGTTTCCTCTGTGTCTTATCACATTTTCTTCTCTGTAAAGTAAACCTTTATATTTTGCACATCTTTCAAGAAAGAGTTGGACAAATTTCTATTTTAAGGAAGGATGCTTTTAAATATGTAATCTTGGTTCAAAATCAAGGAAAAATTATAATATTGGGACATTGTACGATTAGAAGGCTTTAATCTGATCTCAGTATTGGATTTACTGTATTATAAATCTTGAGTTAGGAGATAAAGTGGCATGCCTATAATGCAATAACCTCTATTTTTCAGGTTCAAACAGACCCATCTGGTCTTTATATTGCTACAAGCTGCTCATACAAAAACCTGTCAATATTTGACTTCTATTCTGGAGAGTGTGTTGCCACCATGTTTGGGCACTCAGGTATGGTAAATTGTGCATCTTCTGTATATTGTTGTAGAGATGAGTTTATACACCAATAGGAATGTAACACACACCAACCAAAAATAATAAAATAAAAAAGTGGTTACAAAATTCTGTGGGGTAAAAAAATCTGGTTGTTTGTCAATGTACTACCTTCTTTCCAAATAGAGAATAGGAACATCTTTGTGTCCCTGAAGGCAAGTGCATAATCTTTCTTATTGGTAATCAGAGAGTTACCTAATATCTGTGGTACTATCGAATATATACATTGAGCTTCTCTGACTTTTTTTTTTTAAAGTTCTATTTGTGTGTGTGTGTGTGTATGCATATATTGATGTATATGTGTGTGTATATACAGTGGAACCTCGGAACTCTAACTCTCTCTTACCCGAACAATTTGCTATTTGAACAAAATATTTGAGAAAAAAATGTCTTGGTACCCGAACAAATCATGCCACAAACATATTCAATTATGAAGCTATGTCTCACTTTAGACACATTTTAAATGCCAGAAGAACAGTTACCCATCGCCATCTAACCAATAATATTTCTTCTCCTTTCCAATTGTGCCATCAATTCTCATCATGAAGGTAAAGTGAAGTTTGTGACAGAACCATCTGTCTGCTTATTTCAGGTGGATTCGTCTATTTCTGCCCCCTTTCGTGTAAATGGCTATTTCTATAGCCCAGCCATACGAATGACTGTTTTTCCGGAACAAACCTAACGAACGGACGGCCACCCAAGAGAGAAGTGTGCTGCTGGTTAACCTATTCATCCCAATTAGAACGTTGTGGTTAACCGCAGACACTTCTCAATTAAACCGAATTCAGGGTGGTCGTCGTTCGTATGTCGACCACGAGGCAGCGGCCATTTTAAACCACGCGAAAGCCCAGCGGTGTTTGGCTCTATTTCTATGGAACTAAAAACAGACATTTTCTGCCGAACACCGCTGAAACAACGGAATGCCTGGCTGCCTCCACGAAAGCATACGAATACCCGCCGTTCGGGAGGTTTGAAGCGTATGAAAGGACTTAACCCAGATAGCCTTCCCATGGAGTCATTCGTATACCGAAAGACTGTAAGAACTTTGACTCCATGGCGATTGAACTATGTGTGTGGGATCTGAGCGCTATTCGCTAATAATATGCACTCAGATCCAGGCTATCTGGGGATATGTGATACGAATGGGAAATGTTCTGTATTTTTATGTCTTTTATGATTTTATATTTAAAATGGCGACTGGCTTTGTCCTGGAGATAATTGAGTTTCTTGGTAATTATCTCCAGGGCAGAGGGGAGGGAATCATAGTGCATTGTGGGTAAAAACTGTGTCTATGTGTCTGGAATGTCCCCATATCTGTCTGTCATTTAAGTCTCCCATTTGGTCCCCTAGGGGAGTGTCCACCAAGTGGGAGACCTGCATAAATACGGGCAGGTAGCCCACAGTGAACCCAAATCCTGTTTGACCCTCAATGTGGAGCTTCTGTCTCGTTATTGGGGGGATTGCTTCTTCACGTTTAGAGACTGCTGGATGGAAACGAAAGCCGCTTGGTGGATGTTATTGTTCGGCGGCTAGCAGCAGTTCGTGTATTGCCATTCGGGAGTTTGGAGCCGTTCGCGGATCCCGGTCGGGAGATTGCCGCTTCCCCTGCATTTGGTTCGTGCACTACAGGTTAGGCAAACGGAGTTACTGATATTGCAGACGGGGAAGGTCTACTAAATGGCGGTTTTGCCTAAAGACACTGGAGGTGTCTTAACAAAGTTATTTTCTTTTAATTTACTGTACATTGTATTTATATATTTTTTTCTATTTGATTTTATCCATGTAAGACATTATTAAACTGTACATTTTGTGTTAAAATGCTGTTATTTTGGTGTTCTTGAACGGATTAATAAAGTTTACATTAATTCTTAAGGAAATGTTGATTCGGTTCTCAAACAAATCAGAGGTTCCACTGTGTGTGTAGAGATTCTATATATATATATATATATATATATATATAGATATGTGTGTGTATATACTGATGGCATATAAGAGAGAATATCATAGAAAAGCTAGGGGTCCTTGACCACAGGACTACCAAAGAACAATGTAAAACTACCACCAGACCATGTGATAGCAGTAGTTAATGGGGCTGTGACATACTCCCCTTCCCACGTGAGTTTGCCACGAGTTCCTGGAGGAGCCTGCTTGCCAGCCTCCTGCCCATAGACTATGGGCCCTGCAAGGAAACCTGTAAAAAACTGTTTAACAAGCTTGGCACGTGCCCTTTCTCTATTCTGTTTGGGTACCGAACAGGTGCACAAACCATGGACCACCCGGGAGCTTGTTAAGCCTAATTGACAGTTTGTAACCTGTACCACCGCAGTGTTCTAATTGTTTGTCTGAGTGGCCGCTGTTCGCATTAACGACCACGAGGTGGTGGCCATCTTGTTCGCATGAACGCAGGCATCAGTGTTTGGTCGTCGAGTTCATGGAACTGAAATCGAACACAGAAACTCCCGAACACCGCTTTAATTCCAGCATCGCCTGCGTTCGGTTCTACACTACTTAAAATGGCACTGTTTTCGGTGGAAACATAGGTTAAGACTATTGACTATGTTCGGTAGTTTGTTAGTTTTTAAACTACCGAACTAGACCGACCGCTAGCCATGATTTCATGGAACTGTTTTGGGCATAGGACCATGTGCGCGGTAGGTCAATATTATGACTTCCAGGGAAATTCCAAACCCCTGAACCGATCTGGGTGATTTTTTTGGATATGTTGGTCACACAGATCAGGGCTATCAGTTTTTATTTGTTTTAAATGTATTTTTGAGGTTTTGTAATATTGCATGTTTTTCTGTGCCTGAGAGATAACTCCAGGCACAGAGGAGTTTGTAACTTGTAACTAGTCCCCTCTCAGGTCCAGGAGAGGGATTATCCCGTTTGTGTGGGAGTGTCAGGGGCATGCTTAACTGTGTCTGAAATTGTATAAAAGGAGGCCATCTGTCCAGATTAAAACATTCTAGCTTTTCCTCCCAGAACTAAGCGTCCTCTGGCTATTGGGAGGGGAAAGTGCTAATCACTACTCCAGCTTGTTCCAGTGTGGAGGATTCAACGGGGAAAGTCCTTGTAAGGATTACAACTCCCAGGACTGAGTGTCGTCCAGTGCCTTGGAGTGGAAATAGCGAGTTCCCCATTCGACTCCAGGAGGGAGCGGTTACAGAGCCCCAGTCAAGCCACGGTGACTGTGGGCAGAGGTGCTGCGGTTTGTCCCCTCTTGTCCTTGGCGGAGTTACTCAGCCAGGGGTACAGGGAGCTCTGTTACCGAGACACTCTTTACAATTCCAAACACCATCATTACAAAGACCAACAAGTTCATATATGCCACAGCACATGTCCTCCAACATATTTACTACAAGATCAGTGCCCACCAGGTCAAGAAACAGTGCCCACTGTGGAGGCTAAGACTGGAAGCCAAGATAAAGTCAATGCTTAAGGAAGTTGGTAAGCTGGATCAACATGGTTGGAAAGATCAAAAATAGATCCTGGCTGCTTGGGAAATACAAGAGTGTATACCTGTATGATTGTACTTGGAAATGATTTGCAGTACTGGCAGCCAGACTGAGCAGATAACACCAGAAAAAACAGATGCTAATAAACACCTTGCTTATCAAATAACCATCCAGGGTTTCCACACAGTTGCAATATAACACATCAGTCCTTGACCTATACAGAGCTTAGACTAAACTATACTGGGAGAACATCTTGGAGAAAGATGCATCGCCAGTGGCTACTAGACATGAAAACATAATACTGCATGCTTCCAGTACAAGAAATAGTCACCATCACAGTCAGTGATAGCAAGTAGCTCACATGAAGAGTTGGTAAGCACCTGGGCCTGACATGATGTACACCTACTGGATGCAGTAACAAACAACGCTGCCTGGACGCCTGGCAGCACATTTTAACCAGTGACTGGCAACAGGCTTCCACCCTAACTAACACAAGGTAGAACAATACTGGTCATGAAGGTGCTTCACAAAGGAACAATGCTGTCTACTAGTTAACAAGACCCACGACAAATACACCCTACAAGCCATCAGGTACCCAGCTGGAATAATAAACTTGCCAAAATCTGGCACCCAGTATTTAACCCAAAATCTGGCACCCAGAAACTGTATACAAGCCAGAAGACAGGAGGTTGAGTCCTGATTAGTGTCAAGGAAGCTCCTAGCGCTTCCTGAGGGCGCCAAGCACTCCAGCCGACACCATAACCACCATAGATTCCTCCAGAAAGCAAGGCAGGAACAAGCTCTTACAAGAGCTTAGTAGTGATTTAGCAAGGGAGTATGACAAGCATAGCAATCCCTTGTAGCAGATTCCCCCAATAAGAGACAGGACTCAGATTGAGGGTGAAGTAGAACTGAAGCTTTTAATCCAACACTCTGCTTTTATGCCCATTTTACAAACATAGTACTGCCCACAGGGTTTTGAAGAACAACCAATCAATACATTACAACACAGCTAAACACTCGCATTCATACCTGCAGAAATCCTCCCCTCTGCCTGTGATACAATTATCTCAACACAATAGACTAACTTAATTATCACAGGCAGAAAATATACAGTTTTTACACAATATTAATAATTTTCAAAATATACATGCCATTCACATAAAATAACATTTTCAGAATCAGCATACTCCATATACAAACATACTCAAAAATCATACAATTCCCTCCAGTGGTTTAAAAGTTAGGTGTGGTAACTTACTTATCTCCAGTACAGGGCATATCTCCATTTACAACAACAGTAAAATACCTAAAAATACATAATTCCCATTATATTGAACAGAACCCCCACATTCAACCTATCCCCAGATAGCTTGGATCTGAGCGCTCACTATATCCAAACAGCGTTCAGATCCCACAAACACAGTCAAATCGCCATGGGGTTAAACCATAGCAAGGGCTGATGAGAGACAGAGGAGGGGCAAAACAGCAAGTTTCAACTGGTCTGGCAGTGTCCCTTGGACAACGCCCTGCTGGAGAACAATAGACAGGAAACTGGGGAGGGGCACACCTTCCCATGTATTCAAAGGGGCAGAAAAAGTGTTTCAAAATGCAATAAGCCCAAATAAGTTTCTTAAAGGGCAGTACATCCTAGGGGCCATAGTCCCATGGCAGGAGACTGTTCCATAACATTTGCGGCTAAGTACCGCTGAGGTGACCGGGGACCCATGAAGTTCTCATGCCAAAATTAGTTTCATAGCTGTCGCGGCTAAGTACTGCTGAGGACCATTCGTGGCTTTGGTTCATGCGAACAGCTACCAGGGAGTTAGCGTTTGGTCCTATTCGAATGAAGGGAAAGTGCTGAACTAGGGGCACTCGGGGAAAGCTGCTAATGGCGGCTGGGCAGGGTAACTCCCTAATGGGGTCTGGACCATAGTCATTGGACAGGAGGCCAGCTTCCACACTCCTCCAGGAGTTTGTGGCAAATGTCCAAGGAAAAGAGCATTTGTCACAGACAGCATTTTAGACTTCAAAATAAAATACAAATGCTTGCACCCAACTGGCTAATGATGCTGGTATTGCAGTAACCCACCATAACAATACCTCTAAAATAATTTAAACAAACAATTATACCGCACTCAAAACATGTAAACATACAGAAATCAGATAAACAGAGTAATCACACTTAGAAGGGTACAGAATATTGGGAAATACCACCAAATGGTTATACTTGGCTCCAAAAAACTTTATTGTAACTTGATTCAGTTTTTGCTTGACATTCTGCATATTAAGTTGCATGTAATGTAAGTTACTTTAGGAGATTAAAGAAATTCTAGATTGTGGTCCTAATACATATGTGTATATATAGCTTTTTAGCTTACAATTTTTCACATTGGTGGTAGTACACACAAATATTTGGATTAATATTATCACCCTATGTTTAGGCATAACAACACAAACTTTTATATATATATATATATATATATATATATATATATATATATATATATATATATATATATATATATATATATATATATATATATATATATATATATATATATATTAGTTTCAGACTGTATTTCTGCAGATACTCTTATCTATAATTGGTTAATGTTGTTCAAGTCCACATCCTTTACGTATGGCAGTATGTAAGTCTTGTTATTCTCATGATTATACTGCAAATAACAGAGTCATCTATCTGAGAGAGAGACAGTAGCTAAAAATCTTTTTCCCCATTTTTGCTTTTAAAATGAAAAAGAACATTGTAACCAAAAGATGACAAACACCCTTAAATGTGATTTATTGCTTTATTTTTTCAGAAATTGTAACTGGAATGAAATTTACCAATGACTGCAAGCACCTTATTTCTGTATCTGGAGACAGGTAGGAAATCCCCCCCTATCCCCATACTCCCCCTTCAGCCCCCCCATATTTTCTCTATGTTCTCCATTGTGCAAGTAGACAAATAACCGGAGTACGTAGGAGGTCTCACCACTATGAGCCAACCAGAGTGTTTCATAGTCCATTATCAGCTGTAGGTTGAGATTGCCTGGAGATGTTTTGAAAGTTTACTCTTTACTGTACTAAGGGATTTGTTTGTATCTGAACTGAGGGGTTTAAAAGTATTGTTTCAGTTTGTAATTAAATTTACAGGTGAAAGGTTTCTTTTGGCCTTACTTCGGTGAGGTGGCTTTTTTAGTTTCATATTGGTGAATTTCAACCCTTTCACCTGATTATAGAGACACTTTTAGGAGATTAGACATTCTAGATTGCAAGGGAATAATGTCTATGATTAAGTCCATTCTGTTGGGTGTATGAGAAGTAAGTTCTATGCAGCTTGTATTTTGTTTACTTTTTATTTATTTTTTTGTGCAGTTGCATGACAAAACAGTATGCACAAAAGTGTGGCATATTAAAATTGACATAATTTGTGACATAATATATTCATTAATCTGCACAAAATTTTGTAATATGGGTAACATGCTTAGTGTCAGCTGTCTAACAGAGTGTACTACCTCAACCGGCTCCACAGGTAAAAAGCGATTGACCAGAACAAAAGAGTACATAGGTTATAGATAAACACAGAATGCTCACAATTAAAGTGGAAAGAAGCATGAAACAATAAAAAAAACAAAATATGTAATCAAACAAACCAGCGCTCCACCAGAATTCAGCCAGGCTAGTTATGAGGGAAGATAAGCAAGACATTCAGCACTCCATTTAACCTATGCCCGCCAAGATTAGGACACAGTCCCTCAAAATGGCACTGGTGTTGTTGGCATGGCAATCTGGCGACAGGACATCTCCCTTGCCATCTTCTGCTCTCCCCTCCCTGCCTTGTGTGTGCTTGGCTTTGATGCAGGCTTACACTCTGCTCTTTACGAGGTTTGTCGGATCGGTTCTCGTTGCCGTTGGCACGCTCTCTGAGAGCCTGAAACTACGGGCCAGTTCCGACGCTGTCAGGGCCTACTTTCAGGTGAGTAAGCTCGTGGTATTTGTGGAGCAGGCATGTACTGCCTAAGACTCTGCTTCCTCCAGAAATCTTCAAATATTGCATCCAGCTTGGACAGAGCTCTGGATAACGCTCCCTGGTGACGAAGGAGGCATGTGGCAACTGCCATTTTGAGTGAACTGCTTGGAATGGCGTTGCTGATTGTGGCTGTACAGCCTGTCCCCAGTGGATTTGAGGAGTCATCGGGGCATGAACCCGGGTCACCCTCGCTGGTCCAAGCTCAATGTTGTCGAGAACCAGGTAGTGTGTGCCGGGAGATGGGCCGCCTCTCCCTTACGCAGTGCCCGCGAAGCCTGACTCCTAGTGGCTGAGAAATCCATCTGGACAGCTTTAAATGACTGCTGGAAGTACCCCAAGCTGATCAGTTGATTTCGAGTGTTAAGGTCTCTCAGCCAGCCCAAGAAAAAGAGCCAGGGGTATAGGTAACTGGATTAAATCATAAGATTTATGAAGAGCTCTCTGAAAACACTTCCAGTCACCATTACAGTCAGGCCCCCATCCTATAGAGTATACATTATAGAGTTAAATTGCTTGGCAGGATGATCTATAATTCTGTCAGGGTTATTCAGTAATGTGAGAATTCAAAGTAAATGTCAAATTTAAGATGATAAATAGCCAAACGTGAAAAATTCTGTATGCTATTTAAGCTTTCAGTTCAGCTACTCTAGCATTAAAGCAACACTATAGTCTCCAGAACAACTACAACTTGATGAAGTGGTTCTGGTGTCTATAGTCTGTCCCTCCAGGAATTTTAATCCCTTAATGACAGAGTCAATTGTACCAGTTCTGATCAAAACAAACCTGGAATTTGCGCTATATGTCACCTCTTTCATATTAAGTGCACCCACATTTATTATATATCATTTTGTTCCGGAGAAACAGGGCTTTTATGTCATCGAATATTTATATGTGAAACATAATTTAATATGAACAAAATTTTAAAAATTAAGACATTTTATTTTAAAGATCTGCATGGCATTTTAACAGTTAATGTCATAATACTGTTGGTTTTTACTGCAATAAATTACACATATTTGTATTCAGTGATGTCTCAAAAGTACCCATCATGTCCAGGTTTTATGGAGTTTTGGCGAGTTACAGGGTCAAATACAGTGGCGTACATACCGGGGTCGCGGCTGCGACTAGGCCCGGCCCACCAGGGGGCCAGGCCGCCCTGCGACCCAGTATGTACCCACTGTGACCAGCCTCTTCTCCTAGGTGGCCCAGGACCCGGCCACCTCAGGGTCCACCGAGGCTGGCCGTGGTATCGGCGGGCGGGCTGTCTGGGTGGCCGGCGCGCGAGGGAGCACAACGTCATCTTCTGGCTCCGGCATCAGTACGCGGCGCTTGAGGGAGCTGCAAAGGAAGCACTCAGGGGAGAGTGTTCCCTCGCGCGCCGGCCACCCAGACAGCCCGCTCGCCCGGTGATACCACTGGACCCCAGGGAATCCCCACAGCACTCCCACAGGTAAGGAGGCTGGGGGGATTAAATTTAAATTTAAAAAAAAAAAATGTGTGTTAGTGTGTGTGTCTGCTAGTGAGTGTCAGATAGTGTCTGTCATTGAGTGTGTCTGCTAGTGAGTGTCAGTGAGTGTGTTTGTGTGTGTCTGTTTGATGTCTGTTAGTGAGTGTGTGTTTGTCAGTGAGAGTGTATGTTTTGTAAGTGAGTGTGTATGTATGTCTGTCGCTGAGTGTGCCTCTGTCAGTAAATGTGTGTGTCTGCTAGCTAGTGTGTATGCGTCTGTTCGTGAGAGTGTGTGTGTTGTCTTCAGCACTTACCTTTCTCCATTTCACGACTCCCTTGGCGCTGGGGATCCCTCCGCCTCTCAGCTCTGAATGCGCTTGCGCGTCAAGAGCTGCGCGCGCATTCAAACCGCCCATAGGAAAGCATTACTCAATGCTTTCCTATGGACGTTCAGTGTCTTAAAATCGTGGAAGCTCCTCTAGCAGCTGTCAATGAGACAGCCACTAGAGGCTGGATTAACCCTCAGTGAAACAAAGTAGTTTCTCTGAAACTGCTATGTTTTCAGCTGCAGGATTAAAACTAGAGGGACCTGGCACAAAGACCACTTCATTGAGCTGATGTGATCTGGGTGTCCTTTAAGTGTGTGTGCATCTGCATGCACTGGCGTACATACCGCGGTCGCAGCTCTGCAACCCCTGCGACCAGGTGCCCGCCGCTATTTGTTGCAGCCACGATGCGCGGGGGGGGGGGCACGGATCAATTTTCGCACAAGGGCCCCATGGGTCATGTGTACGCCACTGGTCAAATATAGGGCTTTCCGCTTTTTCATTTTTAGTCATTGAAATTTGCCAAATTGGCTTGCTGGGCCAATGCTGCCTTTGGGAACGTATGGCAGTCGAGGAATAAAAATTAACCACAGCATGGCATACCATTTGCAAAAGTAGACAACCCAGGGTATTTAAAATGGGGTATGATCAGTCTTTTGTAGTAGCCACAAACCCTGTCCAAAGTTAGTGTTCATATTAGTTTTTTGCATTTTTCACACAAAGACTGCACTTAAATTGATGATATTATAGTTATTAAACATGTTACTGTTGTAAAACACTTATATGTGTGTTCAGCAATGTCTCATGAGTAAAACAGTACCCTGCATATACAGGTTTTATGGAGTTTTGGAAAGTTACTTGTTTTTTGTATTTTTTTACAAATAAAATGCCCTTTCACTGATGATATCATTGTCATTTTAAGTTTTACTGCTCTAAAACACTCATATTTGTGTTCAGCGATGTCTCACGAGTAAAACCGTTACCCTACTGTAAAGGTTTAATGGAGTTTTGGAAAGTTACAGTGTCAAATATAGGGCTTTCCCATTTCAGTTTGCCAGATTGGTTAGGTGGCCTATGTTGCCTTTGAGACCATATGGCAGACCAGGAATAAGAATTACCCCCATCATAGCATATCATTCACAAACGTAGACAACTAAGGGAATTGCGAATGGGGTATGGCCAGTCTTTTTTAGTAGCCACTTAGTCATAACCACTGGCCAAAGTTAGCATTCATAATTATTTTGTTTGCATTTTCCCCTCCCAAAAAAGCTGCACTTTCACTGACTATATCATTGTCAATATAGGTTTTACTGCTCTAACACTGATATTTGTGTTCAGGTATTCCTCATGGATACAACAGTACCCCCCATGTACAGATTTTATGGGGTTTTGGAAAGTTACAGGGACAAATATAGGGCTTTCCCATTTCAGTTTGCCAGATTTGTTTGCTGAGCCTATGTTGCTTTTGAGACCATATGGCAGCCAAGGAATGAGAATCACCTCCATCGTGGCATACCATTCACAAAAGTAGACAACCCAGGGTATTCAGAATTGGGTAAGATACAGTCTTTTGTAGTAGCCACTTAGTCACATATATAGTTTTATTTATATATATATATATATATATATATATATATTTATTTTCTGGCCATATCCATGGCAGCACAACAGTGGGCAGCTCCTCCCTATCCCTAATTAGACAGGATGTATAAGTAACCCTCCTACCCTTCCCACCCTCAGTATTTTTTGTTCCTGTCCTATCCCTAGGACAGACTTAGTCATTTCAGGACTAAAAACATTTTCTTTTATGGCTTACCTGAGGATTGTTGGTTCCTCTCGCCCCTTGGGAGTTCAGCCTCTCTCCCTTGGGAAGTCTTCAGGACCCGGTCTGGGCAAAGTTGAACCCCTGAACAAACCCCTTTAGTGACTGGGGGTTCTAACTTGCTAGAGGTAGCAGAATCATGCCATCACCATAATTCCTGCAGTGACCCAAGGGATAGTAGGCTGGGCATGCACATACAGAGCATATGGATTTATTTGCTGTGACCATAGGGGTAGCAAGATTATGCCATAATCCTATTTCCTGCAGTGACCCGATGGGGTAGCAGGCTGGACACACACATACAGATCATATGGATTGAAAGGATTAATATGAAAGTGAGTAACATTCCATCGCCGAAAGAGTAAATGTGAGACTGACTAGCATTCCATCACTGAAATGGTTAAAGTACAATCCTATCTTGTACTTTACATGCTGGGGTATCAAGATTATACCATAACCCCATTTTCTGCAGTGACCAAGGGTCATATATATGCTCTGAATGTGCATGCACATTCAGAGCATATATATGGATATAACTCCTTCACCAATTTCATCTGAAAGGTAAGAGATTACTGCTAATTTTAATTTCAATCAAACTTATTCCTAGGCTTCTATTCCTAGGCCTCTGTTATGCCTTTTAATAGAGCCGCTGGATTTTCTTATAACTAGGCTTCTGTGTCTTTTAATTTAGTCGCTGGATCCACTTATTCCTAGGCCTCTGTTATGCCTCCTAATATAGCAATTTGTATTTTTATTGTGGCATTTACGTATGCAAACACATAGGTAAATAAACTTTATTGGCCACATTTTACGTGCACATAGTGAAACAAATATACAGCTTAAAGACAAAGCTGCTAGTCTACCTAAATTCTGGCTAGTCCTGTATGCACTGTTATCTAATATGCTAATTAGACACTTTCAACAAAGACTGCTTCATGAGGGGGTGTGGGATCCCTAGAGATTCTAACAGGTAACATCTGCTATCTGTCTGTAACCTGAGCTACTTCTGGCTAAATAATTATCACTTTAAGAATTTGAGCAGAAAGCAGGTATGTATCATAAATTAATAACAGTTGAGAAAAGAGCATTTTGCAAAGTTAAGACATAAATTAGGCAGGTGCACGCCACTACTTTCAGTGGGGTCTCAGGTGCCGGTCGGTATCTGTGCCTCAGCTCCTTACTGTGATTTGGGGCAGAGCGGTCGAACTGCGTTTACATCCCATGAAGTAGCAGTATATGCCCGTGAGGTGGTCGATGTCGGCACCACGATGTTGTTTGGGATCAGTAAGTCCAGTTTCCTAAAGAGCCGCTCTGCCTCCGAGACCTTGCTGAGTTGCATAGTTTTCTCTGCATCGGTCACCGTTAACTTGCGGCCTGGTCCCCAGCGGTACTTAATGTCATTGTCCCTCAGCTGCTCGGTCACTGATTGCAGGGATTTTCTCCAGAGCCTCACATAATTACACTATGAGTGGCAATAAAAAAATTGAATTGCCGCCATCGGTAGCCACAATGTTCTGCGCTATCTTCCTCCAATCTTCCTCCTGAATCTAGCTCTGACTCAGACGATTGTGATGTCCCAGGTGATCCTGCAGCCCGCCTCACAATGGATGATCTGCTTACAACTACATGTTTGTTCGTCCACCCACTGTAAAGCGCTGCGGAATTTGTTGGTGCTATAGAAATAATAATAATAATATTCTGCAGAATAAATTGCAAGGTTAAAATGACAGGACCACCGCACTCAGACTTTATTGAGATGAAGTGTTCGGGTGACTTTAGTGGTCCTACTTGAAACTTACACTGATATCAAAGCCTACACAGCAGCCGAACTGGAGAAACATATCTCAGGACTGAAAGGAGAAATTTAAGCTCTCGACTCCTGCACCGGCCAAGCCAAGGCACACGTTACAGGCCTCACACACAAATCAAAGGCCCATGACCGCGACCTTGCAGCTATGCAAGACAGAATCTTACAACTTGAAGATGGCCTAGAGGACCTGAACAATAGATCCGGCAAACAAAATATCGGGATCAGGGGTTTGCCCAAAACGGTCACACAGGATGCAGTCCTCTCATGCCTAAGGGATATTGTTCTGTCTCTCCTACCAGAAGCCTCCGACCAGGAGCTTACTATAGAACGAGCGAATCGGGCATTGCGCTCCCCTACTCCCAAACCCTGTAACCCCCAGGGACGTTATAGTGAAACTCCTGCTATTCCCAACTAAAGAGCGTCTAATGAACACAACCAGTTATCAACCTCCCTCCTTCCAGGGCCGACCACTACTTTTCTTTCAGGACTTGGCTCCATCTACTTTGTGAAAATGCATTGATCTCAAACTCCTCACTGCAGCCTTAGCCCAAAAAGGCTAGCGATTCATGCGGGGCCACCCTTTTAAGCTTATTGTAAAGGACATGCAGACCTACACACTTCACCAAACCACCGATATGTTGGACTTTGCGAACCATCTGGCTATAACAATGATCTACCTCCTCTACTCACCTCTGACGAACATCAGGGAAACCTGGGGACCACAACCGAAGGAGAACCCCTTCCACCACGCCAAGCTCAAAGGAAAAGGCCCCCCTACCTATTGATAGTAAAGTTTAAATGTTTACTGTAAAAAAGTCTATGGGCCCTAGGACCTGTATTTGACACGTCCTTTTTAAGGCCACCCCTGCCTATTTTACTCTGAATAACAGTCCAAAATGGTCCTCAGGGGTACCATGACAAGTCTTGCCTCCACCTATAAGAAGCAACAACTAGCGAGCCTGGAGCATACTTTAACAGAACTTTGCTCCCTCAAAATCAAACTCAACCCCACACCCAAATTGAACACACACATTTCGAAATGCCAAAAGTCCATTAAGGAATTTATGGCTGCTGATTCTGCCAAGGCCATTCAATGGACTCGTCAACTATATTCTAAAAAAAATCTAATAAAGTGGACACTATACTGGCTCATAAACTTAAGCACCAGGCTGCCCACAAAAATATAAATAAGATAAATTCCCCTGGCGGTAACAGACTGAGGCGCGGGAACGAATTTCTGAAATCTTCCAGTTTGTGTCAGCATGTGTGTATATGTCCACGTGTATCTGAGTGTGTATTTGTGTAAGTATGTATACATGTATGTGACAGTGAATGTGTATATGTGCATGCAAATACAACATTGCAATCAAAAGCAAACATTAAATACAAACACACCGCTGCAGTGAAACAGATTTATATACAAACACATCCCTAAAAGCCTACAAAAACTGTTAAATACCATAAATGGTAGATTGACAGCTGGCACAGAATCGTGGGATTTGTACGACAGATGGAATCTAAATTTTGGCCACAGTTGCACTAAAGTGGGCGCAAAATAATTCTTGCACCAGGTCTCTCTACACTCGTTTCACCACTGCTTTAGCTCATTGCAGAGAGTTGCAGGATAGAAACGGCCATGTTACAAATGCACATGAAAGTTATGCAAGATGTTGTAAGCAATTAAATTAAAAGGAACTCCTCCCCAAGGTTATACTATCAAAAATTAAAACTGCTCAGAGGTCTCTAGGCTATTTTTACTTGGTGCATTTTATTATCTTAAAGTTAAACTAAACAGCACTTTGTAATTTCAGTTGCGTGTTCATCTGGCGTCTTAGCTCAGAAATGACAATTCGCATGCGTCAAAGACTGGCTGAAATACGTCAGAGGGGAAAAGAGCCTGAAAACTCTGTCCCTCAAAAGACTACTAATGCAAGGTAACAGAAATGCTGAATAAATTGTTTGTCAATGTGAACTCATGTGTAGATTTGCCTTTACACAGTATTACAGACACATGTAGGTTTATAAAGAAAAAAAAAAAAAAAAAGCAGATAACATTTCTGGACTGAGTGCTGCTTTTATGTGACATATCCATATAAGCTTGCATAGCAACATCCTTTATTTGTGCAATGACAGAAATTGCAATATATCTGCAATATAGAGGCTTGTGCAGAAGCCATAACATGTTTCATACATCATTATCTCAGTGATACAGAAAGGAAAAGTTATTTTGTTAAGACATGTATTGTGTTATACAATGGTAATTGACTTGGTCGCATTCCATCAAGGTTTTTACATTTTCATAAATATAGCTTTTTATTTTAGATATTTTATTGTTCATTCTCTTTTTCATTCTATTACTTTTGCTCTCTTGGTGTGTGAAAATTATCCTGTCCGTGTACTGGCGAAAGTATACATATTTATATTTTGCAGTACACTGACTGGCCCCTTTCTGAGCCATTCGGCTTTTTGCAAATAGTTTTTTTGCAAATAGTTTCAGGATTAGCAATAAAAGTTTTGTAATTATAAAAAAACAAAAAAAACAAAACAAAAATTGATGTTTGAAAAAGTTTCTTCCTAAAAGTGCATTTCTTATTGCTCTTGCCCCTCTGTAATGTGATTTGCCCTTCTTGGGGACACTTCTGCAAGCACGGCAGACCTCCTCCGTGATGTTGACTTCATGATTTACTGCCAGTGCATTAACCTCTGTACGAAGTGATTCATTCCTTTATTCTCCCAATAAGTGCAAGACAGACTTACTGGAGAACTAGCACTCTGGTAGAGAGAGAAGGAGAACCACCTGTAGGAAGGTGTTCCTTTTTTCAGTTTCTCAACCCTCAATGCCAAGATTTAATTGACAGGTTGGGGAAGAACTATATTTTTTACTTGAAATATCAAATAAAATAGATATCCACTTGCTAGCACAATGTATAAATGCTTTATATTCTTTCAATAGTTAGCACATCATTGTGAAAGGTATACACACTATGACGGTCATCATTTGCATGTTTATCTGTTACATACAGATTGGGGATTGGAGGGAACTCTCAGTGATGCTTAATATGTTAGAACTCTAAAAGAAATTGCATTCTGAACATTATCACATTCTCAGTATGTATTGTATTATTTACCGTAGGTTTTATTTAAAAAAAATATTTATTTTCACAATTACAGAAGAGAGACAATAGCTGTGATGTCTACAGCCCCTGCACTTTCTTCTGACAGTGACAAAGAAGGCATTGATGACTTGAGTGATGAAGAGATGACAGGCAAGTAATCTGATTTATAAATCTATATGCCCCTTCTAAAATTTCAATCTGTTGCAAATGGTTCTAGTCACATAAGTTGAGCTCTTTCTTTGGTGATCTTTACTTATTCTGTTGTTAAAAGGTCCTGGCAAACCCACTGACATTTCAGATTCTTTTGTGAGAAGTGCATCCTACTGGGAAATGAAGAGGGTGAGTCCTTATTTTGTTATTAAACTGAAAATTCCAAATGTCCAAGCTGTAGTCTACAGAGATGGGGTAGTTGTCTTTTCTCCTCACACTACAGGTAGCACTGAAAAACAAAACTTCTCCCTTCACAGCCTTTATAAAGGGCAGCACTTTCCTGAGCGCCTAGTGTGTGTTGGTCTTCAGGACAGACTGCTCAGGTAGCATTATATTCCATGTAGTCGTGTAGTGGAAAAAAAACACATTTCAGCAGTGAAAGACCACACAATGTACAAATCCAGTGAACCTTTGTTTAAGCACATCTAGTGGAACAATCTCACAGGTTTCTCTGTTTCAAGTAGGACCACTAAAGTCACCTGAACACTTCATCTCAATAAAGTCTGAGTGCGGTGGTCCTGTCATTTTAACCCTGCAATGTGAAACATTGCAGTTTTGTAGAAACTCCTATAGTTATATTGCAGGTTTAAATATACCTCTAGTGGCAATCTTTCTGACAGCCACCATTGGTGCTTTCTCCTGCAGAACAGAGTGAAACTCTGTCCTGGAATTAAATGCTGATCTTAGCAGCATTTGGTTGGAGGGGTGCAGCAATTGGGCGCACATGCGTATCTCCAATCCAGTGCTTCTGTATGTGTAACCTTGGATTGGTGGAAATTACAGAAGATGTCAAAAGGCATACTGATGTCTTTGAAGGTGGTGTGGGTGGCTGCAGTTGGAAATTAGTTATTGTTAGTTAATATGCATTTTGCAGCGCAAAGGGGGAATAACAATAATCACATTGCTGGAAGGGAACCTAAAGTCCTGAATAAAACAATTGTTATTTTTGGAACTACAGGTTCCCTTTAAGGGAAACACACACATGTGCAAGCTTTAGTTATAAAAGTAATTGAATGTGCATGTATTCTCTTTAAAATTAATGAAAACTGTTGGAAAGTGTTTTGCTTTTTTAATACAAGACACCAGGAAAGTACAGCCAGACCAAAGGAAAAATCATGTTTCCAATAAGTGGTATACTCGACAAGATATGTTGTATAATTGATATTCTATTAAAACAGAAAAACATTCAGTTGGGGATCACAAAAATATAATGGGACGATAATAGAACAATAAGAAATCGGAAATCTTTTGGTAGAAATTCAATAGCCTGAGTTTAGTTTGTGTTGTAATTCAGTATTTGAGTATTCTTTGTTTTCTTTCTTTTGAAGGGGAGGGAAACATCCAATTCTCAACACTCTGACTCCCAAGGTCAGATGCCCAGGCAACGAGTACGCTGGTCGCAGCCAGCTGGTAACATGATTGTTAAGTCTATGCTTGATTTGCGCCAACTAGAGTCCTTCTCTCAATGTAATGACCACAATGAATTCAAACCTGATGAAGAACAAGATGTAATGCGTTTAGATCCTATCCTACAGATTGGCAGGGTAAGAAATAATGCTTAGGATTTTAAGTTTTGGCTGAAAAACAATGTGCATTAATTGTCCTTGCATATATAGACACAATGATTCCTTCAGCTGCTGGACAGGTGACCTCAAAAAACCCAATATATATATAAAAACTTAACTTCTACACCTTCACATATTCTCACTATATAATAGTAACTAGCCCCCAATTCCTTGTGTACCTGTGGACATTTCAAAATGGATCGTGACAAGACATCAGGTTATCCTATTATATCAGAACTCAGGACAGGTACTTGACTTCCCCATTATGCTTGGACTTGGCTGGAATTTTTGGAAAGATTTAAAACTCTTTAGACTGTGAAGAGACATTAACTTGAAACTAACAGATCTGAAGTTTGTGACCAGCTTTGTACTACCGGGCACTTAGAGGACTGGTTGCTGTTATATAGTAGGAGTTGGAAGAGCTGGGGTTAAGTTTTTATAAAGTTTTTGTCTTGCATATTACATGTCCAGCCTTTGAAAGGTTTCTCTTTTTAAATCAACAGTATCTTGAGTCTTTTTTTCCCAGTGTAAATTACGGTTTGTGTTTTGAGAAGAACAAAGCTAAAAAAAATGTTACATACATTTGGATCAACATCAGTAACATGTGTGAAAAGTTGAACACATGTCACACAGTTTTTTTTTTTTTTACTAACCTCTTCATGTTCTGTCACAGGACCCATTTGTTCCTACAGCAAGTATTTCCCGTCCTCGGGTTTTTCGGCTAATGTCTTGTGAGGATGGAGTTTTCAAGCAGGAAGTGGAGACCCCTGAAGGCAAGGAATGCATCATATACCCAGAGACAGAAGATGAGGCTACAGACCCCTGCAGGTAACTCCTCAGTTAGTGCCTATGAGATAATTTCAGTAATTCATATGTCTGTGTAGGGTGCATGGTTGTGAATATTTATTTTATATATAGTGACCTGGGACCATATAACCACACATTTTTAATGATACAATCACCACACAAATTAGATTTCTTTAGAAAATGCAGTCTTTCCCTTTATTAAGAGGTCTGGCAATTAAAAATAAAACAAACAAAACAAAAAGCGTTGCTCTTATGAGCACTAACTGACCGTTTTTACTAACTGCTGTTGGGCGGCTAACCTGCTTTCAACAATACAAAACACACATTTCAGCACAGACCTTTTTCAATAAATGTTTCTGTTCTCATTCAGAACATGTAGTGAAAAATGCAGACTCACACACTGCTTGTCCTTCTCTCTGTGAATACCTGACAGTGAAGTTTTATAACAGTCTTCGGCTGATCATTGCCAACAGGTGAGCAACTACATGGGTGATCCAGAACTCCTGGACTTGATTGCTCCCCTGCTGTGCTGCATATAAACTGTGGAGTGGAGCACTTGCCCTCCTTTCACTCCAAATGCTCCACCCAACCACAGGAACCCATATTAAATTACAAAATTGCTCTGACTAAAACACAGACCTTCCTTCACATATTCCAATACTTTTAGAGAAATATATACTTTATCCATAACAATGCCTTGCACTCTGTCACTATATATATATATATATATATATATCACTAAAGCAATTGCTTGTAGCATTTACCACCTCTCACAGAAATATAGTCTATTCCAAAGAAAAATAATGCGGCACATGTGTGTCCTTTTTGTTAAAAGTGAAAATTTGTAGCAATTATTTCCTCATCATCTCTACTGCCAAAGTGTTGTAATGTCTTGTCCAGTTCTCACTTTTAATTTGTTTTACCTCTATAGAATTCTGAATATCAACACAAAGTATTAATCTAGTTTAGCAATAAAACCAATATTATTTTTTGCTCTAAAAATATTTAGACATCCCAAGTATTTATATAGTGAATGCACATGCCAGCTTTAATTTTTGTTTTAATAAACATGGCAGTATAGTGTTAGAGGAAGAAAGTGTTCAGAAAAGTAAAGTAATTCTTATTCAGTACCTTCACTTAAGAGAGGTGCATTACATGGAACATACAATCGCATAAATGCCATTATTATGTGAATTTTTTTGAATAATGTCTCAGTATAAAAAAAAAAATTAAAAATATAAAAAGCCCTGTGTTAAGTTCAAACTTCAGCGGAGTATCCTGGTTAACCATCGGTAAGGTGGTAATTTCACAAACAACGATAACATGAATTCATATTGGGACATGTAAATAACCTCTGGAATGGAGTCGATACTGGTCACTGTGTGTGGATTTGTGTTTATTTGTGAGAGTATAATAGACAATAATCTTCAAGAACAAGATGTTTAAAAATAGAAAATATGATCTATAATAATCCTATAGTGATCACTAGGAATTTCATCTAATGAACGGTGATATATCCTGTTTAACTCTGTCACACTTCCCCATTTTATGTTGGCTTGAATACGAAACCTTGAAAATTGTTCTAATCTATAAATTGTTTAAATTACATTATCAAAGGCATATTTTGTATGCAATATAAAATGTCATTTGAATCTCTTTTAACACCACTTGCCTTTTAGTAGGCCACACAATAATTTTTGTGGACCTGCTCATGCCCATTGATTGGAGCCACTTCAGAATATACCATAGTATGGGGCAACTAATAACGGGATTACGTAAAGATATGACCATTCCTAGTTTAGCATTTTTCATTTAGTTTTAACTTTACAACTCAAAACTAACAAATGTTTTAGACGGTACAAAAACACTACCTACTTCATAGACTCTACCACATTTTAAAAGTATAAAAAGCATTCTTGTCTATAAAAGTGTAAGAAATTACAGTTTACCCTTCCACACAGGGTCCCTGTAGTTTGAGGAAGGTGCAACAAATAAAACACACAGACAAGTGTAAAAGAAATGTATTAGGTGTAAAGATAATAAATTCACTGGTAATACATCTGGTTTAATAAAAGGGTATTAAACATAGAAAAAACAACAATTGATAACATACAAATCACAGTGTATCACAGAAGGATGGAATAATCACAACACTTGCCACAAATACAATATCTCAAATATTCTCAATTAAACAATTAAAGCATCCATAATGTATATATTGATTAATAAAATGCATCAGAATAATAAATAGTTCATATACAAGCTACAAAACAAAGACCAGTTATAGACATATAGCAGTAAATGCATTTACTATGTGCTCTATAGTATAATACACAGCACATATACAGTATATGCAATAACTCAACCTGCTCTATAATCTAATACACTGCAAATATAGTGAGGTTAAACCAAACAACACACAATGATATAAAACAATACAGCACCACAACTATCACAGGAATCGACCAAGTATCACAGTCAAATATAATTACCAGCAGAGTGTAGATCTGTATATTGAAGTCTCCCCGGGAGCTCTGCTTGGTAGTCACTCGTTGAAGTTCCTACCAGAACTGTTCTGTCTCTAGCCATTTTGGGCCTACATTTATACAGCTTTTTCTCTTTGAAGTTGTTCCCTCCATTTACCCATATCTTCCCTCCATCTACCTAAATTATCTTAGGGTCATGTGATGGGTTTGGGAGGATCAAAAGCTCAACAATAAATTCCTTATTTCTTGTTTGATGTAAGTGGTTCACAATAGAAGTAAACAGCTATTTGATATTTAAATATAAGTTGGGAAAACTCATTAACACCCTATTGATAACACGAAACTCAGGATGAACAAACTGGTCCAATATCCTGTTCTAAGGTATGCTTTGTTAACAGTAAGACAAAAGGCCTTTGATTTTGGAATTGATAACCCCAACTGTCCCATCTACATTAACAGTTAGACCAAAGACTGTCCTGGAAATTACACCACATTGTTTTTCCTGATTTACATGGCACTTGTAACATCTCCTTTTGCTATTAAAGGTCAATCATACAGATCTACATTCTATTTCTTACATTTGATTTACCTTCTAATTTGATTTATATTCTACTATTTCTTACATTTAATTAATCATTTCTTACAAAAGTATCCTTTTAAATATCCTCTAAATCTGATATTCCCAAGATAGTTTGATGTTGATTATTTCTCAGTGGGCAAATAATTGTCGATAACAATGGCCTACCACAGAGTGGTTCTGTTAAGTCTGTCAGCACAGTTCAAGTTATCAATGTTATCCAGTGTTATATGCAGTAGACCGTTATCTAGGTATCTTAATAAACTGTAATCAATGCAAAGCTTAGATCGCAAGCTTGTTTGAGCAGAACCTTCTTTATCTCTTGTATTTGTTAATATTTTGTATGTCCGTTATCCTTATTATATTCTTGTAAAATGCTGCAGAATTTGTTTAAAGAAAAAAAGCTGTAAGCACAGAGGATATATGTTGTGGTGTATCTAGTCATTGTTTTTTGTTGTTGTTTTTGTTTCTAGTGTGTTTGAGGTGAAAGGCATTCCCTATGGAAACTACAGCCAGCATGTATGCCAAGAGAAGCATAGCCCTGACAGCGCATGCTCTGTGGATTACAGTTGCAGCCAGCTTTCTAGCCCCGAGCACCCTAATGAAGGTCAGACTATGCCAAGTTATTCCTTTGGTTGAACACTGTCAAGAAAAAAAGATTTTCTTTTTCTGAAAATTAATGTTTTATATTTTCCATATTATCCATTACTAGTAAGTTTTTGGACTCATTATAGTTAAAGGGACACTCCAAATCCCTGGGCATCTTCTTTGCATATCAAAGCGACACTCCAGGCACCCAGACCACTTCTGCCCATTGGAGTGGTCTGGGTGCCAACTCCCACTACCCTTAACCCTGCAACTGTAAATATTGCAGTTTTCATTAACTGCAATATTTACATTGCAGGGTTAACTCCTCCTCTAGTGGCTGTCTACTATACAGCCACTAGAGGGCACTTCCTGGTCTATAGCACAGGACGTGAGGGCCTCCAGTGTCGCTAAAATTCCCATAGGAAAGCATTGAAGACATTTTCAATGCTTTCCTATGGGGAGGTCTAATGCGCGTGCGTGGCATTGCCGCACATGCGCATTAGGTCTCATCCCGCCGGCAGCCGCGCATGCGCAATGGGTCTCCCCCAACGGCTGACGTCGGCGGGGAAGGAGCGTGGGCGGACCCTAAACCACCGCTGAGGGACATTGGCGGTGGTCTCAGGTAAGACACTGAAGGGGTTTTCACCCCTTCAGCAATATGGGATGGGGGGTGGGAGGGAGAAGGTACCTGCAGTGCCAGGAACGATTTGTTTTTCTGGCACTGGAGTGTCCCTTTAAAGCAACACTCTCAAGCACCATAACTACTACACCTCACTGTTGTGGTTAATGTGGCAGGAGATCCCTGGTGCGCCCTCATTGTTAATAGTCAACTAATTGACTTTTTACATGGGTTCTGCCGGCTGCTGCCACCCCACTTCCAGTACTAGAACCAGAAGTTCCTTAGGAGGTGCTTTTGTTTGTTCTCCTGATCTAAGCCCTGCATGTGTAGCTCATTGGTTCAAAGTGATCAGCTGTTAAACTAAGCCAGCAAGCTGCCTCATGAAAGCAATTGAAAGTTCTGGTTATCCCAGGTAAGCAGTCAGTTTGTTAAAAAAAACTGTTTAATACTTACAATGGTGGGGGGGGAACACTTCGGCACCATAACCACTACAGAGAACATTTCATTTCTGGACTTCCCTTTTAGGTGGGGTTAGTCTGTTAAACTTGCAATTTGGCAGATTGATTTACTGGGCAAGTGTCGCTTTGGAGAAGATGAGCAGCCCTTTACTGTAGAATACCCCAATTATAGCATTCCATGTACAAAAAAAACCAAACCTATGTTATTTAATAGAGGGCTTATTTGAGATTTTCCTATTTTTTTCATCATTTCTTTCTGCCAAATGTATTTGCAATATTTTTCTGAAATTACGATGGGTCTTTCTAATGTAAAAACACAGATTTTGTATTCTGTTACATCTATTCACAAATGTTTTGAATGATACCTCATTTGCACAAGTAAACCCCGGGCTTTCTGGTAGTTTGTCTTTTTGCCAAAAAGTTAATTTTTTATTGCTCAATTTCCGCACACACACCTAACCTGGAGTTCACTTCTATTTTTTTTGAGATTTGATCTAATTTTCATTTGCTTCTAACTTGCATTCCACTATATACTAACACTTCACTGACGTTTGTCAAATGTCAATTAATTAATCTCCATCATTTGACAAGTGTATGATATATGTGTGAAACCCTTGTGACAACCCCATGCTGAAAACACTGGGAAAAAGATCTTTGTTGAACATGTGAGCATTTATCTTCTAAAAGTATTTTACACTTCTCTATTCCTCTCTGTATATGGATATTCTTTTGATTAGATTCAGAAATCACAGAGCCACTGAGTGTAGATGGAAACTCCTCAGATATGGAAGAGCAGGTGGAGGCTGAGGAGCTGGAAACAAACAGTCTTGTGTCAGAGGGGGATGTTCTACTTAATCCAGAGCAAGAGACCTTCCTTGACCAGCATTTTGGGACTTTGTCTGCCCGCAATGTTTCAGGTTTGTACCTTGTACTTTTCTACTGGTTTGTGTTGTTTAGCTTGAAACTTTTTCATGATTTAGGCATCAGCACTAAAGGATAAATACTATGAATTACTTTCATCTATACTGTATGAGTTAATGTTTTCCACTTCTGTTTAGCCATATTTCAAGGAACACTATAGGGTCAGGAACACAAATGTATATGCCTGACCCTATAGTGTTAAGCTAACTATTTAGCCCCTCTTAAATCTAGTAAAAACTCACTTATATTCCGCACGGTGCTGGCTCCACCCCCGATACACATCCTTGGCCAATAGGAAAGCATTGGATTGGCTGAGATTGTCAATTCTGATGATCTCAGGTGGGGCAGAGCCAAAAGCTATCCTGGCCAATCAGCACCTCCTCATAGAGATGCATTAAACCAATGCATCTCTATGGGGAAAATTCAGCTTTTCCATGCAGAGCGTAGAGACGCTCTATGTCAGTGCTGCACACTGTGAAGCACTGACCCAGGAAGAACATCCACTGGCCGTCTGAGGAGTGGCCACTAGAGGTGTACCTAGGCCATGATATAAGCACGGCATTTTCTCTGAAAAGGCTGTTTTTACAGCACAAAGCCTGGAGGGACAGGCTATCGACACCAGAACTACAATAAGCTGTAGTTGTTCTGGTGACTATAGTGTCTTTTCTAGGATTTCATATTGTTGTGCTTGTCCTATATGACTGACTGTTAGTGTGTGTGTGTCTGTCTCCCTGTTTGTGTGAGTCTGACTGCCTGTGATTATGTGCCTGGAACTGTGGCCATGTGGCTGTATTTAACAGTATATGTCTATAACCATGTGCATCTGAATGTGTGTCTGATTGTGGGACTGTGTGCATGTACCACTGAAAAAATGCCCATCTGCATTCACACATGGACCTACATACATTTAAAATTAAATTTAAATAATGAAGTAAATACGCATCACAAATAGCACACACAGTCAATACACCCATAACAAATATCACACATGGAGGTGCAGACGCAAACCAGAGAACAGCATGCCCTCCTCCCTGCAAGGTGACAACAAGGAAGGGGGGAATTAATAATTAAGTGTTCTTGCATAGCAAGACCACTTAATGTTATCTCACATATATATTATTCTTATTATAGCCAAATTTGCCACCCTAACTCCTCCCACAGTTTTTACACTACATAGACAGTAATATACCGAAACATAGAAATATAGAAACATAGAAACAAAAACGTGCGGATTGTTCCCGATTGGGTTGCTATTACTTTGTGGAACGTTTCGCCGAATGGTTCATGGAATATCGTCGTTCTTGTGGCGAAATTGGTCCCATAGGAATGAATGGCAAAATGTTCAAAACTAGAGTGGGAACTGGCAAAAGCTGAAAAATCAGGACATGATTTCTAAACTGCCTCCACTCCCTCATTTTCAAGCCCACCTACACATATCTTATATCAAAACGTTCAGCTATCCCTGCTGCCACTAAAAATGGCTAAGCCATAGTCCTGATAGTTTTCACAATATGACCATTTGTTTGCAACTCACGCCGTCCATTGACATTCATTGAAACTCCACTCTAGCCAGCTCAAACTTGAAGGGCAATTTCTAAACTGCAACTGTGCCTTCATTATTAATATTTCAGAGACATACTATGCATCAAAATGTAGGTCTGGGTCTTGTGATTCTCACAATATGAAGCTCTTCGCTATAGGATTTATAGTTTTTAAAATACGACCATATGTAGAATGAAAAGTAATCAGGAGAGGCAAAATACGCTGACCTGTGCCAGGCTGTAGCAGCAAAGAAAGAGGAAGTGATGTCATAGACAGTGTGAGCTGAAAAATCAGGACATGATTTCTAAATTGCCACCACTCCCTCATTTTCAAGCCCACCTACACAAATCTTATATCAAAACGTTCAGCTATCATCCCTGCTGCCACTAAAAATGTCCACGGGTAAGCCATAGTCCTGATAGTTTTCACAGTTTGACCATTTGTTTGCAACTCACGCCGTCCATTGACATTAACTGAAACTCCACTCTAGCCACCTCAAATTTGAAGGCCAATTTCTAAACTGCAACTGTGCCTTCATTTTTAATACGTGAGAGACATACTATGCATCAATGTCACAATATAAAGCACTTCGCTGTAGGATGTATAGTTTTTAAAATAATGACCGTTTGAAGATGGCAACCACCAAAATACTCTGACCTGTGCCAGGCTGGAGCAGCAAGTGATGTCATAGACAGGGCCTTTTGTACACCTGCTAATGTTTTTATAAATGTATGTTTTAATGTAACTGTGAAGCACTTTGGGCAGCAAAGTTGCAATTAAATGTGCTATATAAATAAATAAAAGTTAAAATGCATTTCTCACTCTATCAATATCGGCAATATCGGTATCTTTAGTGGCCGATACCGATATTGCAGAAAATACAGAATATCGGCCGATAATATCGGTAAAACTGATAATAGCTGGATCCCTAGTTGTAGACTACTGGTGGAGGCAAGAACACTTCACACAATTTCCCCAGAAATTTGAGCTTTTCTAGTTAATTTAATAATGCCCCCTATACAAACACTACATCCCTATACACACGCACTATATGTGTACAGGGAGGGGCACCATGAAGATTTTTCACACAGGCTGCCTAAAGGCCTAATGCCAGTGTTGGTGTCTGCAATATACAGTATCTCACAAAAGTAAGTACACCCCTCACATTTTTTGTAAATATTTTATTATATCTTTTCATGTGACAACACTGAAGAAATGACACTCTGCTACAATGTAAAGTAGTAAATGTACAGTCTGTATAACAGTTTAAATTTGCTGTCCCCTCAAAATAACAACACATTTAACTAAACCGTTTGCAACAAAAGTGAGCACACCCCTAAGTGGAAATGTACAAATTGGGCCTAGTTAGCCATTTTCCCTCCGTGGTGTCATGTGACTCATTAGTGTTACCAGGTCTCAGGTGTGGATGGGGAGCAGGTGTGTTAAATTTGGTGTTATCGCTCTCACACTCTCTCATACTGATCACCTCATGGCAAAGAAGTCTCTGAGGATCTGAAAACAAGAATTGTTGCTCTACATAAAGATGGCATAGGCTGTAAGAAGATTGCCAAGACCCTGAAACTGAGCTGCAGCACGGTGGGCAAGACCATACAGCATTTTTATAGGACAGGTTCCACTCAGAACAGGCCTTGCCATGTTCGACCAAATACGTTGAGTGCACGTGCTCAGCGCCATATCCAGATGTTGTCTTTGGGAAATAGATGTATGAGTGCTGCTGCCAGCATTGCTGCAGAGGTTGAAGGGTGGGGGGTTCAGCCTGTCAGTGCTCAGATCATACGCCGCACACTGCATCAAATTGGATTGATTACTGGAACCATGTCCTGTGTCCAGTGGGAAATGTGTGCCAAGGGACATAATTTTGCCAGCTTCCAAACAACACCTAAAGTTACAGTATTGTTACCTGAAAACACTGCAGATGCCACACATAGAGAGATGGACACAAGTCTATTTAGGAAGTAACAGGTCTTTTATTTACACACCGATCGGGTCTCAGATGAACTCCTGTTCCAAAAATATCTGAGAGACAGAAAGCATGGTGCAGAGGCTTTTTGTTAGCAGCATATCCTCTCCCATACAGTATAACCCCTCCTATAGTCCTCAGACCAATCAGCACACAGGATATTCAGGATCACCTTATATGGGCAGACCACATGGCTTGTTAAAGAAATTTGCTTTCCACTTCATACATGCTCAGTACACTGATGACTCATCCAACTGTTTGTAACCAGATACTAATTAGCATATGCCAAGTGGAGATTTCAGCCTACTAAATTTTGACCATGCTGGAATCCCATCAAATTCCCTCCTTTGATGCCTCTAATATAAACATTATTCCAGATGCATCACTAATCATAATCTGCCAACACCACTCAAGTAACCATGAACCAGTACAGACCTTGTAATCATTCTAACTTAACTTTGTGCTCTCTCAACATTCCTCATCCTGATTATTCTCTCTCTGGGCTAGGGGTTTATACTTCCAGACGGCCATTACATGGGCAGCTGTCTTTCTTTCTATAGTGCTCTCTATAACACTACGTATAGACCTGACCACTAGTGGGATTAGGCAGGGCAGGAGGACGCATAAGAATATAATAAACACTACTCCTCCTACTAATGCTTTAATCCCACCAAGCTGCTCATACCAACTCCCAAACCAACTATTTGGATTATACCCGTTCCAGATTTGAGTAGGTACATGTGTCAGTTTAACCATGTGGCTGGTAAGGTCCACCACTGCCTGCCCCTCATCATCTATGTGCAGACAACAATTACTGAGGTTAAACTTTCCGCACACACCTCCTTCTACTGCCAGCAAATAATCAAGAGCCAGCCTATTTTGGTAAATGGCTGATCTCATACGGGTATTTTGCTTAGCCAAAAGGTTAAAGGGACACTATAGTCACCTAAACAACTTTAGCTTAATGAAGCAGTTTTGGTGTATAGAACATGCCCCTGCAGCCTCACTGCTTAATCCTCTGCCATTTAGGAGTTAAATCCCTTTGTTTATGAACCCTAGTCACACCTCCCTGCATGTGACTTGCACAGCCTTCCATAAACACTTCCTGTAAAGAGAGCCCTATTTAGGCTTTCTTTATTGCAAGTTCTGTTTAATTAAGATTTTCTTATCCCCTGCTATGTTAATAGCTTGCTAGACTCTGCAAGAGCCTCCTGTATGTGATTAAAGTTCAATTTAGAGATTGAGATACAATTATTTAAGGTAAATTACATCTGTTTGAAAGTGAAACCAGTTTTTTTTTTTTTCATGCAGGCTCCTCAATCATAGCCAGGGGAGGTGTGGCGAGGGCTGCATAAACAGAAACAAAGTGATTTAACTCCTAAATGAAGGTGAATTTACCAGTGAAATTGCAGGGGAATGATCTATACACTAAAACTGCTTTATTTAGCTAAAGTAATTTACGTGATTATAGTGTTCCTTTAAGTGCTTTAGCCGTCTCGGTTATGATCTCAACCACCGCCTGTAATCTTAGAATGCGGTTGAGCATATATATGGGG